GTGTTGTCTTCAGTGGCAGTGTTGTCTTCAGTGGCAGTGTTGTCTTCAGTGGCAGTGTTGTCTTCAGTGGCTGTGTTATCTTCAGTGGCAGTGTTGTCTTCAGTGGCAGTGTTGTCTTCAGTGGCAGTGTTGTCTTCAGTGGCAGTGTTATCTTCAGTGGCTGTGTTATCTTCAGTGGCAGTGTTGTCTTCAGTGGCAGTGTTGTTTTCAGTGGCAGTGTTGTCTTCAGTGGCAGTGTTGTCTTCAGTGGCAGTGTTGTCTTCAGTGGCTGTGTTATCTTCAGTGGCAGTGTTGTTTTCAGTGGCAGTGTTGTCTTCAGTGGCTGTGTTATCTTCAGTGGCAGTGTTGTCTTCAGTGGCTGTGTTATCTTCAGTGGCAGTGTTAACTTCAGTGGCAGTGTTGTCTTCAGTGGCAGTGTTGTCTTAGTGGCAGTGTTGTCTTAGTGGCAGTGTTATCTTCAGTGGTAGTGTTTATCTTCAGTGGCAGTGTTGTCTTCAGTGGCAGTGTTGTCTTAGTGGCAGTGTTGTCTTAGTGGCAGTGTTATCTTCAGTGGTAGTGTTATCTTCAGTGGCAGTGTTGTCTTCAGTGGCAGTGTTGTCTTAGTGGCAGTGTTGTATTCAGTGGCAGTGTTGTCTTCAGTGGCAGTGTTGTTTTCAGTGGCAGTGTTGTATTCAGTGGCAGTGTTGTCTTCAGTGGCAGTGTTGTCTTCAGTGGCAGTGTTGTCTTCAGTGGCAGTGTTGTCTTAGTGGCAGTGTTGTATTCAGTGGCAGTGTTGTCTTCAGTGGCAGTGTTGTCTTAGTGGCAGTGTTGTCTTCAGTGGCAGTGTTGTCTTCAGTGGCAGTGTTGTCTTCAGTGGCAGTGTTGTATTCAGTGGCAGTGTTGTCTTCAGTGGCAGTACTGTCTTCAGTGGCAGTGTTGTCTTCAGTGGCAGTGTTGTCTTCAGTGGCAGTGTTGTCTTCAGTGGCAGTGTTGTCTTCAGTGGCAGTGTTGTTTTCAGTGGCAGTGTTGTTTTCAGTGGCAGTGTTGTATTCAGTGGCAGTGTTGTCTTCAGTGGCAGTGTTGTTTTCAGTGGCAGTGTTGTATTCAGTGGCAGTGTTGTCTTCAGTGGCAGTGTTGTCTTCAGTGGCTGTGTTGTATTCAGTGGCAGTGTTGTATTCAGTGGCAGTGTTGTCTTCAGTGGCAGTGTTATCTTCAGTGGCAGTGTTGTCTTCAGTGGCAGTGTTGTCTTCAGTGGCAGTGTTGTCTTCAGTGGCTGTGTTGTATTCAGTGGCAGTGTTGTATTCAGTGGCAGTGTTGTCTTCAGTGGCAGTGTTGTTTTCAGTGGCAGTGTTGTTTTCAGTGGCAGTGTTGTATTCAGTGGCAGTGTTGTCTTCAGTGGCAGTGTTGTCTTCAGTGGCTGTGTTGTATTCAGTGGCAGTGTTGTCTTCAGTGGCAGTACTGTCTTCAGTGGCAGTACTGTCTTCAGTGGCAGTGTTATCTTCAGTGGCAGTACTGTCTTCAGTGGCAGTGTTATCTTCAGTGGCAGTGTTATCTTCAGTGGCAGTACTGTCTTCAGTGGCAGTGTTATCTTCAGTGGCAGTACTGTCTTCAGTGGCAGTACTGTCTTCAGTGGCAGTGTTATCTTCAGTGGCAGTACTGTCTTCAGTGGCAGTACTGTCTTCAGTGGCAGTGTTGTCTTCAGTGGCAGTACTGTCTTCAGTGGCAGTGTTGTCTTCAGTGGCAGTACTGTCTTCAGTGGCAGTGTTATCTTCAGTGGCAGTACTGTCTTCAGTGGCAGTACTGTCTTCAGTGGCAGTGTTGTCTTCAGTGGCAGTGTTATCTTCAGTGGCAGTACTGTCTTCAGTGGCAGTGTTGTCTTCAGTGGCAGTGTTGTCTTCAGTGGCAGTGTTGTCTTCAGTGGCAGTGTTATCTTCAGTGGCAGTACTGTCTTCAGTGGCAGTGTTATCTTCAGTGGCAGTACTGTCTTCAGTGGCAGTGTTATCTTCAGTGGCAGTACTGTCTTCAGTGGCAGTGTTATCTTCAGTGGCAGTACTGTCTTCAGTGGCAGTGTTATCTTCAGTGGCAGTACTGTCTTCAGTGGCAGTGTTGTCTTCAGTGGCAGTGTTGTCTTCAGTGGCAGTGTTGTCTTCAGTGGCAGTGTTGTCTTCAGTGGCAGTGTTATCTTCAGTGGCAGTGTTGTCTTCAGTGGCAGTGTTGTCTTCAGTGGCAGTGTTGTCTTCAGTGGCAGTGTTGTCTTCAGTGGCAGTGTTGTCTTCAGTGGCAGTGTTGTCTTCAGTGGCAGTGTTGTCTTCAGTGGCAGTGTTATCTTCAGTGGCAGTGTTGTCTTCAGTGGCAGTGTTGTCTTCAGTGGCAGTGTTGTCTTCAGTGGCAGTGTTATCTTCAGTGGCAGTACTGTCTTCAGTGGCAGTGTTGTCTTCAGTGGCAGTATTGTCTTCAGTGGCAGTACTGTCTTCAGTGGCAGTACTGTCTTCAGTGGCAGTACTGTCTTCAGTGGCAGTGTTGTCTTCAGTGGCAGTGTTGTCTTCAGTGGCAGTGTTGTCTTCAGTGGCAGTACTGTCTTCAGTGGCAGTGTTGTCTTCAGTGGCAGTGTTGTCTTCAGTGGCAGTGTTGTCTTCAGTGGCAGTGTTGTCTTCAGTGGCAGTGTTGTTTTCAGTGGCAGTGTTGTTTTCAGTGGCAGTGTTGTATTCAGTGGCAGTGTTGTCTTCAGTGGCAGTGTTGTTTTCAGTGGCAGTGTTGTATTCAGTGGCAGTGTTGTCTTCAGTGGCAGTGTTGTCTTCAGTGGCTGTGTTGTATTCAGTGGCAGTGTTGTATTCAGTGGCAGTGTTGTCTTCAGTGGCAGTGTTATCTTCAGTGGCAGTGTTGTCTTCAGTGGCAGTGTTGTCTTCAGTGGCAGTGTTGTCTTCAGTGGCTGTGTTGTATTCAGTGGCAGTGTTGTATTCAGTGGCAGTGTTGTCTTCAGTGGCAGTGTTGTTTTCAGTGGCAGTGTTGTTTTCAGTGGCAGTGTTGTATTCAGTGGCAGTGTTGTCTTCAGTGGCAGTGTTGTCTTCAGTGGCTGTGTTGTATTCAGTGGCAGTGTTGTCTTCAGTGGCAGTACTGTCTTCAGTGGCAGTACTGTCTTCAGTGGCAGTGTTATCTTCAGTGGCAGTACTGTCTTCAGTGGCAGTGTTATCTTCAGTGGCAGTGTTATCTTCAGTGGCAGTACTGTCTTCAGTGGCAGTGTTATCTTCAGTGGCAGTACTGTCTTCAGTGGCAGTACTGTCTTCAGTGGCAGTGTTATCTTCAGTGGCAGTACTGTCTTCAGTGGCAGTACTGTCTTCAGTGGCAGTGTTGTCTTCAGTGGCAGTACTGTCTTCAGTGGCACTGTTGTCTTCAGTGGCAGTACTGTCTTCAGTGGCAGTGTTATCTTCAGTGGCAGTACTGTCTTCAGTGGCAGTACTGTCTTCAGTGGCAGTGTTGTCTTCAGTGGCAGTGTTATCTTCAGTGGCAGTACTGTCTTCAGTGGCAGTGTTGTCTTCAGTGGCAGTGTTGTCTTCAGTGGCAGTGTTGTCTTCAGTGGCAGTGTTATCTTCAGTGGCAGTACTGTCTTCAGTGGCAGTGTTATCTTCAGTGGCAGTACTGTCTTCAGTGGCAGTGTTATCTTCAGTGGCAGTACTGTCTTCAGTGGCAGTGTTATCTTCAGTGGCAGTACTGTCTTCAGTGGCAGTGTTATCTTCAGTGGCAGTACTGTCTTCAGTGGCAGTGTTGTCTTCAGTGGCAGTGTTGTCTTCAGTGGCAGTGTTGTCTTCAGTGGCAGTGTTGTCTTCAGTGGCAGTGTTATCTTCAGTGGCAGTGTTGTCTTCAGTGGCAGTGTTGTCTTCAGTGGCAGTGTTGTCTTCAGTGGCAGTGTTGTCTTCAGTGGCAGTGTTGTCTTCAGTGGCAGTGTTGTCTTCAGTGGCAGTGTTATCTTCAGTGGCAGTGTTGTCTTCAGTGGCAGTGTTGTCTTCAGTGGCAGTGTTGTCTTCAGTGGCAGTGTTATCTTCAGTGGCAGTACTGTCTTCAGTGGCAGTGTTGTCTTCAGTGGCAGTACTGTCTTCAGTGGCAGTACTGTCTTCAGTGGCAGTACTGTCTTCAGTGGCAGTACTGTCTTCAGTGGCAGTGTTGTCTTCAGTGGCAGTGTTGTCTTCAGTGGCAGTGTTGTCTTCAGTGGCAGTACTGTCTTCAGTGGCAGTGTTGTCTTCAGTGGCAGTGTTGTCTTCAGTGGCAGTGTTGTCTTCAGTGGCAGTACTGTCTTCAGTGGCAGTACTGTCTTCAGTGGCAGTACTGTTTTCAGTGGCAGTGTTATCTTCAGTGGCAGTGTTGTCTTCAGTGGCAGTACTGTCTTCAGTGGCAGGACTGTCTTCAGTGGCAGTACTGTCTTCAGTGGCAGTACTGTCTTCAGTGGCAGTGTTGTCTTCAGTGGCAGTGTTGTCTTCAGTGGCAGTGTTGTCTTCAGTGGCAGTACTGTCTTCACCACATCACTCATTTAATACTGAAGACGCTCATTAAAGGTAGACAAATTTACTGAACGTGATTCAGCGGGAATAAAAGAATCACACAATATTTCTTATAAAACTGAGATGTGCATCGACACTCTGCAGTTTCACTCTCAAGCGAGTTAATTAAAATTAAGTTTTAAAGTTGTGGACGGGTAAGCCAGTGGAATGTCTCGGTCAGGTAGCCAAAAGCTCTAGTCTCGGGTCATTATATGAATGAGATTCCGCGTCAGGAAACACTTGTCTTGTTTCCCAACGAATTTTGCCTAAACTAGATCTAGGTGAGTACAGGTATTAAACGCGTCTTTCTGGCGCTCAGCAGACGGAGGATCAAGCCTCCACCACGTCTTGCGCTGAATAACCCACATGAGTTTAACGATTAATATCAACTACGAAAATTTATAATCAACTGAACCTTACCTAACTCTCCACCGTCGTCGAATTATGAGACATATTTGTTTCTGAACGTTTGAAGCTCCGCCAAGGAGGATGTTTGGAGGTTATCCCAGCGGGTCTACAACTTTGGTCATCTGGCAGTTGCACAAAGACAGTTGTTCCAGGAATCTGGTCCTAATTACCGTACAACAAGCGGTGGAAATTAGAAATGGATCAAGTAAGTCGTTCTCGAGCTATGAGCGAAGCAGAATTGAAGATATATGATGAAGCAAGAAAATAAAAAAAGAAAAAATCTGGGATGGTCAGTTATACAATACACAACAATAGTTATATTGCTCAGTTCATATACAGAAACTGTACAATACAGTATGTTGTATTATCTAAGTATAATACTACATTATGCTAAATAAGTTTGTTAATTTATGCTTGGTTAGGTTAAACTAGGTCAAGTTAGATTAGGTTAGATAAGGCTAAGTTTAGACTAGATTAGTTTAGGTGAAGCTAGGTTAAGTTAGAATAGGTCAGTGTAGGTTAGTATAGTTTAGGTGGTTAGGGTAGAATACGTTAAATTAGGTTAGTTTCTGTGAAGCTAGGTTAGATTAGGTTAAGTTAGGATAGGTTAGTTTAATATGATATAGGTTAGAATAAGTTAGTTTGAACTAGGTTAGTCTAGATGAAGTTAGGTTAGAATACGTTAGATTAGGTTAGATCAAGTTTAGTGAGAATAAGGAAAATAAGCCTATAACAGCAAATACTTAGCTACAAAACAGGCAAATCAAGAAAATCCATAATACGTCTGGCAACACGGTGGGTTACCAGACGTATGATCATATATGCAGCTACGTCATTCGTGGTGCCAGAATAAGTTAACCAAATATATTAACCTCTGGTAGTGATTTACGTCATAAAGATATACATGTACGTCATATGATGACCGTTTAGTGAATGGTTTATTTACCTGGAGAAAATTTCGGGGGTCAACGCCCCCGCGGCCCGGTCTGAGACCCTGAGTATATTATTATTATATATTACATTACTGTTATTTATTATTATTATTATTATTATTATTATTATTATGTTTACTATTCGGGATATAAAATATATTATTTAATATCTTATTTTGAATCGTCATTGCGTAATCATTTGAACACAATTATTCTTGTATTACCTTTCTCATTACAGTGGAAAGTGTATATGTTACTGTGCGAGTTGTGGACAGCATTGAGAAGTTTGTTCTGGAGTTGCCGCCGGCGCCGCGTAGCCAGACGTACGAGCCTCAACATGCCAGACGTACAAGCCAAGGCATGGCTCACCCAGTAATTTGCTATTAACAGCTGTCCAGTAAAAGAGAGTTGTTAAGATCACTAAGAATCCAATCGACAGCAACAATGATAATCTCGTGTGTAAAATGTAAAGTGTACCCAGTGTACGTACACACAGCGTATGTGCACCCTGAGTGTGCATACACAGTGTATGTACACAGTGTGTATACATACAGATATATACCCAGAGTGTTGCAGCAGTCATACATCACTGAGGTTCAGCAAGTCACTCAGCTTGGTGTGTCTCCTATACCCATGAATTATCCCCGTGAGTATCTATCATTATTACTGTCATTCTTATTATAATTCTTGGGAAGCGCTAAGCCCGTTGGGGTTATACAGCACCTGGGAAAATGAGTGGCAATCAGGTTTGACTGAAGGTGACCCGTGACCTGGTGGCAAAGTTCTCGCTTCACACGGTGAGGGTCCGGGTGCGTTCCCGGCAACGGTGGAAACATTGGGCGTGTTTACTTACACCGGTTGACCATGTTCACCCATCAGTAAAAATGGGTACCTGGGTGTTAGTCAACTGGTGTGGGTCGCATCCCGGGACAAAATTAGCCTAATCTGCCCGAAATGCTCTGCAAGATAAGATTTCGTTCGGATTTTTAACCCCGGAGGGTTAGCCACCCAGGATAACCCAAGAAAGTCAGTGCGTCATCGAGGACTATCTAACTTATTTCCATTGGGGTCCTTAATATTGTCCCCAAGAATGCGACCCACACCAGTCGACTAACACCCAGGTACCTATTTGCTGCTAGGTGAACAGGACAACAGGTGTAAGGAAATGTGTCGAAATGTTTCCACCCGCCGGGAATCGAACCCGGGCCCTCCGTGTGTGAAGCTGGAGCTTTAGCCACCAGGCCACCGGACCACAAGCGGCTTTCTATATATAGTATTTCACTGATGTCAGCTAGGCCTGTATACCTTGTACATTTACTTGTAGAAATAAAGATATTAATAAGGAACGGAAAGGACAGGTTCAATACCCTTGAACCCCCCTCACCAGCATCATGGAACCTGGTGGGGTTCAGTAAGTAGCTGCCAGTTTAGAACACTTACATGACCTCCGGACACCACTGAGTGCTAATGTTCAATGTTGTGGTGTGGGGAACCTGCCTTCACATCTCATGACCTGAGCTGGCGTGGGCTGCCTTAACACGCCATCATCTGACAACTTACTTACCGGGTCATCATCTGACCTCCTACCAGGTCAGATGATGACCCGGTGAGTGGTCTCTCAAAGACCCGTTAAAAAACGCTAGCCGGTTTTCCGACAAATAAAATACCACTACCACCTGACAGGATAATAATAATATTTATTTCTATAAATGATACAATTATTATAGACCTAACTGTAATATTGGCATACTATATAGATAGCTCCTGGTTATGCAGCTTAGGTTAATCTTGTTCCCCAGGTACCTACTTACTGCTAGGTGAAGAGGGCCAGCAAGTGTAAGACATGCCCAACGTTTCACCCGTACCGGGATCGATCCTGAACCTTCAGTGTGTACGCTGAGGACGCTATCACCCAAGCCACGAGCACCTGACAGATGTATATCTCTCAGCGTATATATTCTGAGAGTTTAATTCTTATTTTATGAATTAAAGTATTCTTATTAGGTAGTAAACAGGTAGTGGATAGGTTTGAAACCTCATTAACTAACTAACCACCATTAATTTTGCTACCCATCAACTTAAACAAAAATATAACACATTGTCTATTAGGTCTAAAACTGCGTATTATGGATCGTGTCATTGTTGTTACCGTCGTAGTTATTATTTCTTGGTGTTCCAACAGGGATGTTAGTGGTGTTGGTGGTGGTGGTACATGGTGGTGGTGGCGAGGAAGTCTCAGCACAGCACCACCAACACTGGCTTTCCTCCAACCATGACCTGTTGTCAGCCCTCACTTGGGCTTCCCTCGACCATAACTACCTCAACCAGCCCACTCTCTTGACGTCCTTAGAGAACCTCAATTTAACCTCCATAGAAAGTCTTGGTGGATCTGGTCTAGACTTGAGCTTCCTGGAGGGACTGAACAAGACCTCTGGCTCTCTGACCTCCACTGACCTGACCTTTGCTTTATACCGTCCACGCAGGAAGAGGAATCTTGCAATAGTTTATAACCAGCTTCTCAATATTCAGGTTAGTCGGTGTTTGTTAAGTGAAAATTTGTGTATGCAATAATTTCGCCAAAATCATTCTGAACCTAACGAAAAAAGTATATTTCACTGTGTTTGTTTAGTATTAAATTACTGTAACAAATCTAAAATATATTTAGTTGGGTTAGACTGAAATAAATTGTTCTTGTTATAATAAGGTTAGATAAGTTTTCTAAGATTCTTTTGGTGCAAAAATAAAATTTTTTACATTAACATTAATGAAAAAAATATATCTTTAAACGTATAAAAGAAAATTTCAGAAAGGACTTAATTTTAAATGAGTTCTTGCTAATTGACCAGTTTTACATATTCGGCACGACACATATATATATAATATATATATATATATATATATATATATATATATATATAATATATATATATATATATATATATATATATATATATATATATATATATATATATATATACATATCGCTCACGCGTACACACACACACAGGGGCTAGGAGCTGTGATTCGACCCCTGCAACCACTTATAGGTAAATACACACACACCTGTGTAAGTATATTAAAACTTCATCTAATCAACAGGTCGAGGTGAAGTTGTTGTTTCCCTTGTTAAACATCTACGCCTCAGATAACCTCAACATTGAGGTTCCCTTTGCTTACCAGATGAACATCCCCGTTAAGACTAAGACCTTAATGGTTGGTAAAGAAGAAGAGGAAGTTCCCTTGGAGGAAGCCATTGATGACATGACCAGTGACCTGGAGGGACTCATTGCCATGTAAGTGTTCCTCGGATCAAGTGTTATAGGTGTCTGTAACTGTAGAGACAGAGACGCAAGTTGTAGAACCACCTTTGTCGACTGGGATAATGTTTGGCTGTTTGCAAAGTTTTCCAGAGAGCGAGACGTTGCACCAGTCAAAACTTGATCTACGGCAACTTGTGACTTTTGTCTTCGTGTAAGTTGTTTGATTCCTTTGTCATCTTTTTTATAAATAATTCAGGTTTCTATAAATTTGTTAATGCATGTGTAGTATAAGTGGAAGTAGAGAGAGGCATACTTAGACATTACAAAAATATACATTGACATTACAGACATATCTGGACATTACGAAGATATAACTGGACATTACGAATACATGCCTGGACAGTAAAAAGACATACTTGGACAGCACAAAAGCATATATGGACAGTACAAACCGCCATATATGGACAGTACAGACATACTTGGACATTACGTAGACATACATGGACACTGCAAAGATATACCTGGACAGTACAGAGACATATCCGGACATTACTAAGTCTTCTACTGAGGCCACTCTCATCTCTGCCAAAAGTGAAAATTATCTTTTAGTTAAAATTATATGAAAATGGAAATAAAAATTTAGAAAAACACACAGCTAATAATTCTTCCAAAATAATGATATAATAATTAATAATGATGTTAACACCATTAACATAACTGAAGGTGTTATACAGAACAAAGCGGAACAATACCGCGACTGGAACAGCATATAAATAACCCAAACTCAGAAGCTTACGACGACGTTTTGGTCCGACTTGGACCATTACACATGGTCCAAGTCGGACCAAAACATGGTCGTAGGCTCCTCTCTATGTGCCGGTTATTCTTCGTGAACGTGCTATAATTTAGATGAGGAAGCCTAAGCAAGCAGGATGATAATCACAGACGGTTAGAACTGTGAATCCAGCAGAACCTCAGTAACAGAACTTGTTGCAATGTCCCGGGTTCCATCCTTGGCTGGTTGCAGTACTGTTATTTGATGCTTTATACTGTCTTAACTCAGCACCCAAGGAAGGGGAGGGAAGGGAAAAGAGGGAGCCAGGTTTCTTGACTGGGGTGGGGGAAGGGAAAGGGTGGTTACTGACTGTGGTGGCTGGAGGGGAAGGGTGGTTACTGACTGTGGTGGCTGGAGGACAAGGGTGGTTACCGACTGTGGTGGCTGGAGGACAAGGGTGGGTACTGACTGTGGTGGCTGGAGAAGGGTGGGTACTGACTGTGGTGGCTGGAGGAGAAGGGTGGGTACTGACTGTAGTGGCTGGAGAAGGGTGGGTACTGACTGTGGTGGCTGGAGGAGAAGGGTGGGTACTGACTGGTGGCTGGAGGAGAAGGGTGGGTACTGACTGTGGTGGCTGGAGGAGAAGGGTGGGTACTGACTGTGATGGCTGGAGAAGGGTGGGTACTGACTGTGGTGGCTGGAGGAGAAGGTGTGCGTACTGACTGCGGTGGCTGGAGGAGAAGGGTGGGTACTGACTGGGGGTTGCTGGAGAAGGGTGGTTGCTGACTGGGGGTGGCTGGAGAAGGGTGGTTGCTGACTGGGGGTGACTGGAGAAGGGTGGTTACTGACTGGGGTGGCTGGAGGAGAAGGGTGGTTACTGACTGGGGGTTGCTGGAGAAGGGTGGTTACTGACTGGGGTGGCTGGAGGAGAAGGGTGGTTACTGACTGGGCTGGCTGGAGAAGGGTGGCTACTGACTGGGGTGGCTGGAGAAGGGTGGTTACTGACTGGAGTTGCTGGAGAAGGGTGGTTACTGAGGTGACTGGAGAAGGGTGATTACTGACTGGGGTGGTTGGAGGAGAAAGATTTTTACTGACTGGGGTGGCTGGAGAAGGATGGTTACTGACTGGGGTCGTTGGAGGAGAAAGATTTTTACTGACTGGGGTGGCTGGAGAAGGGTGGTTACTGACTGGTGTGGCTGGAGAAGGGTGGTTACTGACTGCGGTGGCTGAAGAAGGATGGTTACTGACTGGGGTGGGTGAAGGAGAAAGATTTTTACTGACTGGGGTGGCTGGAGAAGGGTGGTTACTGACTGGGGTGGTTGGAGGAGAAGGGAGGTTACTGAAGGGGAGGGTGGAGAAGGGTGGTTACTGACTGGGGTGGTTGGACAAGGGTGGTTACTGACTGTGGTGGCTGGAGAAGAAGGGTGGTTACTGACTGTGGTGGCTGGAGGGGAAGGGTGGTTACTGACTGCGGTGGCTGGAGGAGAAGGGTGGTTACTGACTGGGGGTTGCTGGAGAAGGGTGGTTACTGACTGGGGTGGCTGGAGGAGAAGGGTGGCTACTGACTGGGGGTTGCTGGAGAAGGGTGGTTACTGACTGGGCTGGCTGGAGAAGGTTGGCTACTGACTGGGGTGGCTGGAGAAGGGTGGTTACTGACTGGAGTTGCTGGAGAAGGGTGGTTACTGAGGCGACTGGAGAAGGGTGATTACTGACTGGGGTGGTTGGAGGAGAAAGATTTTTACTGACTGGGGTGGCTGGAGAAGGGTGGTTACTGACTGGGGTGGTTGGAGGAGAAGGGAGGTTACTGAAGGGGAGGGTGGAGAAGGGTGGTTACTGACTGGGGTGGTTGGAGAAGGGTGGTTACTGACTGTGGTGGCTGGAGAAGGGTGGTTACTGACTGTGGTGGCTGGAGAAGAAGGTGGGTACGACTGTGGTGGCTGGAGAAGAAGGGTGGGTACTGACTGTGGTGGCTGGAGAAGGGTGGGTACTGACTGTGTGGCTGGAGGAGAAGGGTGGGTACTGACTGTGGTGGCTGGAGAAGGGTGGGTACTGACTGTGGTGGCTGGAGAAGAAGGGTGGGTACTGACTGTGGTGGCTGGAGAAGGGTGGGTACTGACTGTGGTGGCTGGAGGAGAAGGGTGGTTACTGACTGTGGTGGCTGGAGGAGAAGGGTGGGTACTGACTGTGGTGGCTGGAGAAGGGTGGGTACTGACTGTGGTGGCTGGAGGAGAAGGGTGGGTACTGACTGTGGTGGCTGGAGGAGAAGGGTGGGTACTGACTGTGGTGGCTGGAGGAGAAGGGTGGGTACTGACTGTGGTGGCTGGAGGAGAAGGGTGGGTACTGACTGTGTGGCTGGAGGAGAAGGGTGGGTACTGACTGTGGTGGCTGGAGGAGAAGGGTGGGTACTGACTGTGGTGGCTGGAGAAGGGTGGGTACTGACTGTGGTGGCTGAAGGAGAAGGGTGGGTACTGACTGTGGTGGCTGGAGAAGGGTGGGGTACTGACTGTGGTGGCTGGAGAAGGGTGGGTACTGACTGTGGTGGCTGGAGAAGGGTGGGTACTGACTGTGGTGGCTGAAGGAGAAGGGTGGGTACTGACTGTGGTGGCTGGAGGAGAAGGGTGGGTACTGACTGTGGTGGCTGGAGGAGAAGGGTGGGTACTGACTGTGATGGCTGGAGAAGGGTGGGTACTGACTGTGGTGGCTGGAGGAGAAGGGTGGGTACTGACTGTGGTGGCTGGAGGAGAAGGGTGGGTACTGACTGGGGGTTGCTGGAGAAGGGTGGTTGCTGACTCGGGGTGGCTGGAGAAGGGTGGTTGCTGACTCGGGTGGCTGGAGAAGGGTGGTTTCTGGCTGGGGTGGCTGGAGAAGGGTCGTTACTGACTGGGGTGGCTGGAGAAAGGTGGTTACTGACTGGGTGGTGGTGGAGAAGGGTGTTTCTGACTGGGGTGGCTGGAGGAGAAGGGTGGTTACTGACTGGGTGGGTGGAGAAGGGTGGTTACTGACTGTGGTGGCTGGAGGAGAAGGGTGGTTACTGACTGGGTGGGTGGAGAAGGGTGGTTACTGACTGTGGTGGCTGGAGAGAGGGTGGTTACTGACTGGGGTGGTTGGAGGAGAAGGGTGGTTACTGAATGGGAGGGTGGAGAAGGGTGGCTACTGACTGGGGTGGCTGGAGAAGGGTGGTTACTGACTGGGGTGGCTGGAGAAGGGTGGTTACTGACTGGGATGGCTGGAGAAGGGTGGTTACTGACTGGGGTGGCTGGAGAAGGGTGGTTACTGACTGGGGTGGCTGGAGAAGGGTGGTTACTGACTGGGGTGGATACAGAAGGGTGGTTACTGACTGGGGTGGCTGGAGAAGGGTGGTTACTGACTGGGGTGGCTGCAGAAGGGTGGTTACTGACTGGGGTGGCTGGAGAAGGGTGGTTACCGACTGGGGTGGCTGGAGAAGGGTAGTTACTGACTGAGGTGGCTGCAGAAGGGTGGTTACTGACTGGGGTGGCTGGAGAAGGGTGGTTACTGACTGGGGTGGCTGCAGAAGGGTGGTTACTGACTGGGGTGGCTGGAGAAGAGTGGTTACTGACTGGGGTGGCTGCAGAAGGGTGGTTACTGACTGGGGTGGCTGGAGAAGGGTGGTTACTGACTGGGGTGGCTACAGAAGGGTGGTTACTGACTGGGGTGGCTGGAGAAGGGTGGTTACTGACTGGGGTGGCTGGAGAAGGGTGGTTACTGACTGGGGTGGCTGGAGAAGGGTGGTTACTGACGGGGTGGCTGGAGAAGGGTGGTTACTGACTGGGGATGGCTGGAGAAGGGTGGTTACTGACTGGGGTGGCTGGAGAAGGGTGGTTACTGACTGGGGTGGCTACAGAAGGGTGGTTACTGACTGGGGTGGCTGGAGAAGGGTGGTTACTGACTGGGGTGGCTGCAGAAGGGTGGTTACTGACTGGGGTGGCTGGAGAAGGGTGGTTACTGACTGGGGTGGCTGGAGAAGGGTGGTTACTGACTGGGGTGGCTGGAGAAGGGTGGTTACTGACTGGGGTGGCTGGAGAAGGGTGGTTACTGACTGGGGTGGCTGAGAGGTGGTTACGATGGGTGGTGAGAGGTGGTTACTGACTGGGGTGGCTGGAGAAGGGTGGTTACTGACTGGGGTGGCTGGAGAAGGGTGGTTACTGACTGGGGTGGCTGGAGAAGGGTGGTTACTGACATTGTCTCTAATATACACTTCCTGAAACTGTCTAATATGTACTTCCTGACACTCTCTGACATAC